CCGCTGCCTGCCCCGGGTGAGGAGTGAGGAGCTTACCTTCAGTAAGTGTCCCACACCCCATGGAAGCGGCACGCTCACAGACCACTACTCCTTAGAGGGAACATTGCTTGTCATGCCTGTGCCCTGTTCCTCATAGGACATGCAGAATCCTACTGAAGATCACATGAACTTATGCTTCTTTAAATGCCTTCCCCAGCCTCGTGCAGTTTGCTTCGATGTCAATGAATACCTGGCTATATCATCTGCTCTAACATGAATCATCATCAGTGAGTTATTTTCTGCTCCCATCAGGATCATCTGTAACATCAGGTCCATGTCATATACCTTGCTCCCAAGTGCATCCTTCTGTTTTGTGTCTTCCCTTATTAAAGTTCTGTTAATTCTTCCTAAGAATGAGTCTCAAATATTCACACTTGTTTTTCCTAGTTTTATTATCAATCCCTGGTCTTTTTTCCTTTCACTCTTCCTTCTGTCTGCAAGTCATATTATTCTCCCTAGTGATTAATGCACTCAGCCATAAAGTGGTATGGGATTTGAATGTCACATCATCTATTTCCCAAAACATCCTAACCACCAAGCTATACAACAGGCTAGATAAGGACACCCTCCACCTCTCATTTTGAAGCTGGGTCACTGGGCATCCAAGAGTGCAAGTGTCAGAAAACAAGGAGGCAACAAGGAGCCTGCCTCAATGGCCTTGGAAGGATGCATGGAGGGAGTCCTGAGTTCCAGTCTCTGTTGTTAGGGTTATTCTTTCTTTTTCACAAATGTGACAAATTGGAGAGAGTCCAGTGGATGATTTGGGGGCTGAGACTTATGACGAGAGGCTGGGGGAACTGGGCTTATTTAGTCTAGAGAAGACTGAGAGGGGATTTAATAGCATCCTTCATCTACCTGAGTGATTTGAAAGAGGATAGAGCTAGACTGTTTTCAGTGGTGGCAGATGACAGAACAAGGAGTAATGGTCTCAAGTTGCAGCAAGAGAAGTTTAGGTTAGATATTAGGAAGAACTTTCTCACTAGGAGGGTAGTAAAACACTGGAACAGGTTACTGAGAGAGGTTGTGGACTCTCCACTCTTGGAGGTTTTAAAGACCTGGCTAGACAAAGCTTTGGCTGGGATAATCTAGTTGGGGATGGTTGTGATTTGAGCAGGGGGTTAGACTAGATGATCTCCTGAGGTCCCTTCCAACCCTGACTTTCTATGATCCTATGATTTTAATGATTGTGTAAATGTAAAGTGCACATACAGTCCCAGAAGCAGGGGCTAGAACCAGGGACCCTTGGAAGAGCTACAGCCACAAGGTTACAGTCAGGCTCCTTCTTGCTTACCCTGAGTGTTGCCTACACATCCTAAATTAGTGTTGTCAATTTGATCAGTTTTTCTTATTATTTAAATTAAGTGTTTACATTACTGTTATCTTATCAGATTCAGTTGCAATTGGCCTCAATTTTTTACAGTAAGGACACTAAAAGACTTAATTGCAAAATGCTGAGATTTAAAGAATTTTCAGGAAATTGTGTTAAATAACATTCATGCCAAGTTAAACTTTCTATATGAGTATGGCAAAATCAGAAAATAAAAAATTACATCACTTTAGTAAGGCACAGTTAATTAAGCAGCGTAGGCAGTGCACTTTAAATCCAAAGACTCTGATTTCCAAACAACGCCCTTTATCATACCATTCTAGTTTTACTAGTTGACCTATCATGTTAAACCTGCTAATGTGCATCAGCTACTTAGATTCGTTTTAACAAAAAAAGCTTTACAGATAGCTAATACAATTTGCAATTTCACCTTAAACCAAAACATGTTCTTTCCAAGACTCTGTATTAACTTTGTGTTCTTTGTTTCTCAAGGACTCCCTATATTAGTCATGTACTTCTCGTGTTTTAGAACTTTGTTTGTTTTGTATGCTTATTTTTAGTTTGCATGGCACTTCTTAATTAATAATACTCTTACTTTTACCCTCTATTTACACTCTGCAGCCTTTTATTTACCCTAAATCTTTATTTTTACCAACATTTATATTCCCTAAGCAATTTTTTGAAAGGGGACGGAGGGGGAATGTTTTAGGTAACATTAAAGAGAAAGATGGGCAATGATGCTTATGTTTTGCATTTGTGCCTGGTGCCTGGTTACAACACTTACCCAGGAAGTGGGCGACCTAAGCAAAAATAAGGCTTTCTCTTGTTCTCCTTTACATTTGAAAATGAATTCAAGCTGACTGAGAGTATCATTTTTATGTGAAATTCACTGATGGAAGGAGTTGAATACAACAGTCAGGACAAAGCATAGGCCTCAGAATGGGGTGGGCCACCCAGGCCATGGCCCAACCAACTTTTAGCATGTTAATGTATATAACCCACAAATGCATAATTGTCATTCTGGTTAAAACTGTATAGCTATTTTTAACTGCATAGCTAGCTAAATTAACGTACTAAAAGTTGGTTGGGCCATGGCTCAGGTGGCCCGCCCCATTCTGCAGCCTATGGGACATAAGAAATAATTCAAAGGGATCTAGAAAGAATAGAAGGATGGGGACAAAGTTTGATAAACCTTGGAAAATTCAACCTAATATATTTAGGGAAAAGGGATTCAATACTATCCCATATTATTCATTACAAGGAAGAAACATGAGATACCATAGTGCTGAAATAGGCCCAGGATTAAACTTTCCCTTCAAATCTGGAAGTTGCAGGGTCACCCGGCAAGTAAAACCAAGCACTCTTTAACCTAATACACAAAGGCATTGCACTTCAAAGCAGGGAGGTTAAATCCTTCTCCATATGGCCCTAGGGTATCTGCACCAAGAATGCTGCTTTTGTTCTGGGCACCACATTCTCCCAAAGATATTTGACAAGCCAGAGGGAATTAACAGAAAAACAAAAACAACAAAAAACAACCTAAAGCAGTGTTTCACCAGCTTTTGATTCCTGAGGCACACTTTTTCCAAATTAAGATTACAGGCACGCTTCACCCTTACACCCAAAAAGGTGGGGGGTTTTCCCCAAACATATAACATATTCCTTTCTTCTGCCAAAGGAAATCATGTCAGTGTTGAGTGGTACTGTTAAAAAAAACTCCACAACTTTCCTGGATTTTGCAACACCCCAGCTGAGAATCACTCATGGAGACTGAAAATCTTTAAAGACATGGAGGGGGGGTCTTGAAGCTAAAAGAGATGAGAATCACTGATCTAGCTGGTGCTATTTATTGTGCCCTGCTCTTTCCACTGTCTGCCCCCTCCCAGCCCCTGGTCTGTACCTCAGGGGGCCAGGGCAATCCTCACTGCTGAAGCTGCCCCTGCAAAATCTCCCATGCTGGTGACCACCCCTGCAGCCCCTCCTGGGAGTGCGGGAGGAGTGGAGGGGATGAACTGGGCTGCATAGCACATCTCCATCTGTGCGTCGGTCTGCTCACAGCAGAGCACGCTGCTGGGAACACGAAGGGAACCAGCAGAGAGGCTGCCTGGAGGTGAGATAGGGTGAGACAGAAGTCCCAGAGGAGCAGCCACAAGTGCCACTGGAGTAGCTGGGGCAGGCACAGGATGCTGAACAGGGGAGGATAGTATTTTCCTCCTCACACATAGGGATCTTTCAGCACACTTCCATTGCTCTCACAGCGCACCCTTTGGGAATCACAGACCTAAAGGATCGAGGGCTGGAGAAACTGACTTACAAACAAGAGCTAATGATCTACTGATTAGCTCAAAGGTGACAAAGGTTAACACCCTAGAATTATACGAAAAGTAAAAAATAGCAAAGATGGACAAATTTATCCAGTGGTGGAAGCACCCTTTGCTTGGTACTTTCATAACCAGCTAGGACAAATGCTATAAAATGTTCTGCAAGTTATAACCTAGCATTGGGCAAGGAAATTGGCTGAATGATCTAGGTGTCTTCCATCTTGCTATCGTGCCGAGGACTTTAAGCTAGGTTCACAGAGGGACAGAGACCAAAGTAAGGCAACCTAGATAAAAGACTAGGAAGAGGAGATATCATGAGGAATATTAATGAGACTGGAATAGGGAAACTAGCGGGCCAATCAGCTAGTCATCTAAGATGCTTAAGTACTAATGCAAGCATGGGAAATAAACAGCAAAAACTAAAAGTCTTAATATGCAACAGAATTATGATCTACCTGGGATAACTCAGGCTCAGTTGAATAGTTCCCTTGACTGGAACGTTTGTCATGGATGGGTATAACTTGTTCAGGAAGGAAGGCAGGGGAAAAAAGAAGGAAGTATCTACACATAGATGAAAGATAAATATAGTTATTATGAAGTATAGAATGAAGAGGGACTGAACTGTTGAAAGACTCTGGGTTAAGATAAAAGGGGAAAATAGAAAGGGTGATGCCATGGTAGACCACCAAACCAGGTAAATGACGCTTTTTTTAACAACCAACTGAATGATCTACATCACAGAACCTGTTTTTATGGTGGATTTTAGTTACCATGATATCTGCTGAGAGGAGAACAGTAGTTAAGAGACAGATGAGAAAAATTTTGAATTGTGTTAGGGACAATTTTTTGTATAGGAGAAAACAATATGGTGTAGAGGAGGAAAAGTTCTTGTTTAGTTGCTCACTAATAGGGGAAATTGGCTGAGAACATGAAGGAGGAAAACAGCTCGGGTGACAGTGGTCATGAAATTATATAGTTCACAATCCAAAGGAAAGGAAAGAGCAAAGTAAAAACATTGAATTACAAAAAAAAACCCCACCAACCCAGTTAACAAATGAAGAGAACTGGAGAGCAGAATCCCATGGGAGACTGGTCTAAGGGGAAAAAAAGAGTCTAAATGAGTTGGTGGTGCCTTAGAAGAGGCAATATTAAGGGCTATCCGGATGTAAAGGAAGGACAGAAAGCATAGCAAGAGACCAGCTTGGCTGAACCAGTGAACTCTTCAAGTAGTTGAAATTCAGAAAGGAATCTTACAAAAAGTAAAAGTATAAGCATAAAAGTATATTACAAACATGCAGAGACAAAAATCAGGAAGGCCAAGGTACAAATGCAGAGACAACTGGCGGGAGACATAAAAGACAATGAAAAAGCATTCTATAAGTATGCTAGAAATAAAAGGAAGATCATGGAAACTGTAAGCCCATTGCATAATAGAGAGAGAAAGATGATCATGGATGATGCAGAGGAGACTGATGTCCTTACAATACTTTAGACTTTACAAAAAGTGTCCATTGTCAGATGGCAAGCACAGATAGCAGCAAAGACAGGAAAGCAGATAATCAGCCTACAGTGGGAAAAAACAGATTAGAGATTACTTATAGAAGACGATTGTTTCTAAATCTAGACCTCCTAGAAAGCACAAGAAATTGGCTAAAGTAATGGCAGAATTGCTGGCTATCATGTTTGTAAACTCATGGAGATAAAGTAAGGTCCCAGATTAGAAAAGGGCAACATAGTGTCCATTAGGGGTATGCAAAGCGGGCCCTATTCAATTTGGATTCGGCCTAAATCAGGGACAGTGACTCAGTTCGTTGATTTGGATCACTGTCCCTGATTTGCTTCGGCCAAAAGATTCGATGCTGATTCAGAGAATCAGCGATTCGGACATACACACAGCTTTAAAAGTTTTTTCTACATACCTTGAAGTAGCAGGCATGGCTCATGATCACTGCAATGCTGGGGCACATGGAGCATCCCACAGGAGTGTGGAGGGGTCCTCTGTGTGCTCGGCGGCAAACCCGGAAATGGACTGGAAGTACC